TTGAACGAGACAAAGTGTTTCTAATAGATTTTTGGATGCTGAAAACGATGCTAACAATAAGCTAATTTTCGTCATCACATCAGATTTTCGAAATAATTGAGTTAATGATTTTTTTGCGATATTTGAGATTTTTGTAAAAATATTAACGGTATATGGAAATTCTAATACGTCATGAATGTATTATTTATCTCCTATTAAAGTGCATTTTCTCATTTGATCTTATTTTTTAGGCATGTTATGAAAAATTGAAGCTAGAAATTGCTTTATATAGGGACGAATATCTAAGAAACACTAACTGTCTCGATTAAAATAATAAAAAAATTTTTTAAAAACTAGTATTATAATTTTTTATAGTTTTAATAAATTATATGAAATAATAATGTTTTAGAAGTTTTGATGTCATTTATGTAAACAAATATGAACAAAAATACAAACAAAAATGTATATCGTTTAAAGAAAATGATAATCTTCATTTAATCTTGATTTTTTCCTGGTTATCTGAACGTTAGATAAAATCTGACGTTCAGATAGCCAGGAAAAATCATAAAAACCCAGTGCTTAACAATTTTTCTAAGACTCATATTTTTTTAGTTATTCTGCTGTTCCGGTACTTTTGTAACACCCTGTATAACATATAAATAATTATTATCATATGAAAAATATTAGTCATTAGATGATCGCGACGGAGAGTTGAAAGAAAAGAGGTCGAAATAAAGTGCAGCACAAATTTAAGAAAGGTAATTCACATACAACTGTTTATTGAGACATGTAGAATACATCTGGTCATACACAAAAATCTTTGATACTTCAAAATCAAGCTCTTAGCCAGAAAAAAGGAATCATGTTATAACATTCTTTTTTTAAATTCATCATTAATCATTATGTTTAACTACGTTTCACACTAAAGTTAGGGGCAACTTGGAGAAATAAAAATTGCGGGAATTATAAAGCAAAGCAAATTAGTAGATAGGAGATGAATAATAAAGAATCCGAAAAAACACAATTTATAATTGTCAATAATGGTAAAAAAATTTCGCGATAAAAATTTTGCACGTCTGTTTTTTTTTATAGCTACGGAGCTGATACGTAGCGCAAAAAAATATAACATGTACATGTATCTTTTTTTTTCCTTTTCGGGGGTTTGGGGGTGGGTGTTTTTCTTTACTGAATCCTTCGTTAAACTATATCGTACGATTTCCTTCTTTCTCGTTAATTAGTGCTAAATAACATCACGTCACAAAAATGCATATATTCGCAGAAATATAATATATATTTATATAATAATTAAAAAAAACATGTGTTTCGTGGGTCACTTCGATCAATGTTCGCAACGTTTCGCGACCCAAGGATCACACAACATTCGACATGAGAGATGGCCAACTACGACATGATAAACCCCGAATGATATGATGATGCCTCGAAGAAAAAAGAAATGTACCACGAATCATCATCATCATCATCATCATCATCGCAACATCAACATCATCATTATCATTATCGTCATCATCATCACTATTATCGATATTGTCATCATCATCATCATAATCATCATCATCATCATCATCATCATTCATCATTCATCATCATCATCATCATCATCATCATCATCATCATCATCATCATCATCGTCATCATCATCATCATTATTAATCGGGGCGTTGACCGGATAAAAAAAGAGCACGCGGCTACGGCATCGCCAGCCACAGTGTGTGTGTGTGTGTGTGTGTGTGTGTGGTGCAAATATCCTAAAATGCGACCGATAACTCCCCCCCCCCCCCGCCTCTCTCCCAGGCACCCCATTACAAATTATCAAAATATAAAAAGAGGATCAGAAGATGATTATACAGGTGGGACAAGGAAAAACAAGAAGAGGGATGGAGATAAAAAATAGAAAAAAAAGATACGTCGGTGATATATATTTTTTTTCGGGACGCCTTTTTAAACCGGAGCAGGGCCGGGTGGTATTATCGATAAACACTAGTACCTAGATCAGTCTAAGAATCTCGTCACCGTGAACTGTCTCCGCTTTAGCCAAGTTATAATTCCTTGCCCCCGCAAGCCGAACTCTCTTCATAATCGTATCTCTGCATCTATGTACTTGTATGTGTGTGTGTGTGTATATATATATATATATATATATATATATATATATATATATATATATATATATATATATATAATATATGTATATATATATAACATATCTTTTTGTTTTATTTTTTTCCTTTATTTTTTTCTCTATCATGTTCTTATTATTCCTTTTTTATTCATTACAATTTTTTGCACAGAAAAACCAGATTTTTTTATTATGTTGGAATATTATCATGTGTGTCACAAAAACCCACTCAATTATGATTAGCAATATCATCCTTATCATATTGTTAATATTAATATTATTATACCCTCGATATTATGCTTTTCATAAATAGGGTGTGTAGGTAAGTAGAGTAGGTAGATAAAGATATATAAAATATGGTAAGCGAATAATCAGCAAAAAGGGGCGGTGAAAAAGGGAGCACGAGAGGAATGAAAAGTAGATCACCAATACAAATCGCGTCTTCGCAAGTTGCTCGGATTTTTCCCTTTTCCTTTGTTTTTTTCCTTTCCTTTTCCTTTTCGAAACAATGATCGCAATATGATATTGTGGATAAGCATATATAATAAACAATGATCGCAATAAGAACAGAGAATTTTTTCTTTCGTATAATCACATTACTTCTAGATGAATCAAATTCATCGCTACTAGTAAAACAGTATCGATGACAAAGAAGAGTTAGACTTAAGTAAAACATGAATAAAAATTAACAAAATGCTCATAAATACGAGATTGAGAAAACAATCATCTAGATCATCTTATCTGTTGTAACGTACCTATGATTTCGTCGTATTTTTTTTTATATTGTGTGTTTAGAGTGTGTGTCAGCCTGTAAATCATATATGACGGTTCCAGGTTACAAATGTGATATATATGCGATCTTTTATATTTATGATTGGTCGGTCTCTATGGCAATAATCATTCGATGTAGAATCAGACTCCATATTGTATTACATATATATATCCGCCAATTCTACTATTATTATATCAAATCCGATTTAGAGCCAATATATTGTTATATATGCGATTGTCGTCTCGTTTGGTTGTTGTGTTACAATAAACAGGAGACTGATATGCAGTTATTCTGTTATTACAATTAAATCTTTTTTTTTTTTTTTGTCTTTATGTTGTATTTGTTTTCATATTCCAGGGGTGCGTGTAAAATACAAATTATTTGCATTATTTTCTTTTTTTTTCTTTCTTTTTTCAAATAATCATCCAGAACAGGGGGTGTCTGGGCTCCAGGGACAGGGACCAACTACAGCCCGCACTTACAACTCTTACTAATTACTAACAGGCTAACAATAACAACAAGTCAACACTCAAAATGTGTGCTGTATGTGTTCATGCATTTGTAAACATTAGATTTTACATCCTACTTCAATCTGTGACTATCATTATCAAATTCATAGTCAGTCATCTTTAAAAACGTTCTCTTATTTTTTAAAAGAGAATACAAAAAAAAACAAATTTATTTTTTACATAAAATTTAGAAAAACAATACACTCTCTTTATTTCTCTTCCAAAGGAAATAGATTCACCTTTTATATTTGCTTTCAACGAACAATTTTTAATTTCTTTTAATTATAAAAAAACACACCAACAAATAAATATATTACGATTTGAATCTGAATTTGTCTTACTACGCGGGTAGTGTTATTGAAAAATTTACTGTACAAGCAGCATTTCTTTACGATAGTGAGCAATACTTTTTCCCCCTTTTCTTTTTTTCTCTTATTTAATAAAATCCTTTATCTGACTGTAATCGAACTTAATCTGGGAGACATTCGCAGAAACTCCGTTGTCTTGCAACGTTTTACATTCGCTACTTTCGCGAAACTTTGCCTGACTCTTAATAATAATAGTTTCACTGACTGTACACGTTTATAGACCAACAATAGAAGGTCTTGTGGCGCACTTAGCACGCTTCACGCACACATACACATACAAAGACACATTCCGCTTAAAGAAAACTCCTTTTCTCCTCTCTCTCGTTTCTTGCAAATACAGCGTCTTGGACGCCTCATCTATCTTGCATACTCGCTAAATATCGCATTCTCGCCCTGTGCCTTCGTTTCTGCTCATCTACGTACTTACTAATATTTCTCGCCTCTTCCTCGACCTTGGAAATTTTTGTCTGATCTATTTTTCTTTTATATTTTTTTTTGTTCCCCAACATCTTTGCCTTCTCCTTCATGCTATCCTATTTCGTTTCATTTCGCTTATCCGACACACGCACGCTTCATAGATTCATAACAGCATCATGTATTAAACTGCAGGCTTCCGTGAGTTCTCTTAACTAATACAAGCCATCACAATCCTTATGATCAACATCACTGATCTTCATCACTTGGCAGTAAACAATGTGACAATGCAGTAGTGGTACTTAGATTAGTATTATCATAATAATAATAATAATAATAATAGTACGGGGTGAGTGGGCGGTCACACTCCGATGTAAGTTAGTCTCAGTGGCACATCACTGTACATAATCACAACAACAGCGGACGATGGTGGTGGCGCAGAGTACAGTTGCTGCGTTGTTATTATTAATATGAAAAAACATTTACAATTACTCGAATCGATTAAGAGCGATAATATAAATGGATGATTTTTCCCCTCTTTCGTTCGTCTAGTATCTCTCCCCTCCTCTCTCTCTTTCACGTGCACACACATACATATATTTCCTCCTTTTGATGTTAATTTTCTCTCTTCTCCTTTACTCTCTCTCTCTCTCTCTCTCTCTCTCTCTCTCTCTCTCTCTCTCTCTCTCTCTCTCTCTCTCTCTCTCTCTCTCTCTCTCTCTCTCTCTCTTTCTCTTTTCCCTTCCTCTTCATCTTCTCTTTTCATGCATTTGTTCGTGCGTGCGTATTTTTTTTTCTCATCACTCACAAGCTTGCAGAAGTTAGCTCCATGACTGGTAAGAGTCTTGATACCATTCGTGATCATCACCGGAAACACCGCCGAGCGTGCCGGCTCTATTTCCGAAATTTATGTCACCGCCACCACCACCACTGCCACCATTCACACTCGCCAATCCGTATGCATTGCCCAGCGGTTGTTGGGCGAGGGGCTGGTTTCCCCAGTTGCTCTGGAAGCGACGCTTAGATTCCCCCTGGTTCTGGTGACCCCCGTCAAATTTTCGTTTACCTGCTGTAAAAAAGATCACACAGGATCGTGTTAAAACAAATATTTGGATGGGGAAAAAAAAAAAAAAAAAAACTAATATATATTAGATCAAACAATATCCTATCATTGTGCTTGATGTTTGGAAAATATTATATATACATATACACACATACAGAGTGAAAAATTCCAAAATAATCTAACATTTTGAAAAGCATTTTAAAAATGTTTTAGACAAAAATTGTAGTGTTTAAAAAAACCTATTTGACTTTAGATAGCATTAAGAACATATAAAGGTCACTTTATTTTTCTTAAATAGAACCGTCATGTTTTTTTATATAAATCGATTCTTTACAATATTCTGCATAAAAAGTTATAAAGACAAAATGATTAAAAAGTGAATAGTTTACTAGATATTTCATTTTATGTAAGATTATGTCAAATTAAAGTATAAAACATCTCGTTTAAATTATTAATTCTTTGACTATTTTGCTCTTATAACTTTTTATGCAGAATATTGTGAGAAATCCATTTATCTAAAAGATGGTAATTATATTTGAAAAATTCAAGATGACCTTGATATGACCTTGGTACTACATCTAAGGTTTAAACTGTTAAATGGATTAAATTAGGTTCTTTTAAACACTACAATTTATAGAATATAAATATGATGTTTTCTAAATCGGCCAACAGAGCCAAAGCACAAAAAATTAATTATTCGGAACTGTATCTCTTGGTACGAGATCATAAAGTTCCATATATAAATTAATCTCGAAACTTTACATATGGAGAAATAGGCGCGAAAAAATTTTTCGTGCTTTGGCTCTGTTGGCCAATTTAGAAAACATCATATTTATATTCTTTATATTGAGAGCCGATAAAAATATTTATTTCTGACTACAATTTATGTTTAAAACATTTTTTAATAAAATGCTTTCTTTCCGAAATATTAGATCGTTCCAGGATTTTTTGCACATCTTGTGTATATATAGGACAATGAAAGAGAGCGTAAGAGTTTTTGTGTATGTGAGTATATGTGTGTTGTGAAAATGTATAATGTCGAGTCATAACAAGCTCAGATTCTCGTAAAAGATTAAAATAACACGAAAGAGATATTTTATTAACTTTTTATGAAATTACAAGACTCTTGACAGGCTTTTGAACAAATACTGTCATAAAAAAGGAAGAACTAACCTACTCCTCGATTACAATCAAGTAGATGGGACTCGGATACCTTGGTTGGAAGGTGGATTGGATCGTTTACTGTAAGGTGAACAATATGTAAAAAAATTCATGAAAATGTAAAGGAATGTGCAATCATATATGAAGTATAAACACTAAATATTCACGTTAATTAACACGTATAATTACTATTTTCTAAATTATAAACACTTTCGAAAAACCTTGAGACGACTGAAAATATATATCAAGCAAAAATCTGTAAAAAAGAGAATCAGAATACAATTAAATATCTCGAACAATGTAAGACATTCATATTCAATACATAATCATTCCTTTTTTTTTAATTGTAATTAATTGTCTTCACATTTTGGTTATTGGGAGAACGAGGAATAAACATAATGTATATGTACTATCTGTATATCTCCCCCTTTTTCTTTGTAAAAAAGAAGGGGTAGTAGAAATTAATGTGTATTGTTGTCAATCACGGAAAAAAAATTATCCAGAATAATTTAGATGCTTTGGATGCTATTTAGATGTATTCAACATACTTCTTCTTTTTTACAAAGTAGAGACAAAATAGAGAAATTTATATTGCAGATTAAAAGCAGATATCTAATAGAAAGCTTCTTAGCAAAAAGTATATTATATAGAGCAGTTACCGACTCCTTAATCCTCACCGCGACCATGTTGGATTGTGACGTTAGAAGTGAGAAAAATACACGCTGATAATTTTTGCATGTTTTTTAGATAAAATTTTTAGATAAAAAGATATTTCAATGAAACAATACTACAAAATCCTTTGACATGTAAAATTGTCCGAAAACTAACATTTTTTCTTTAGAACACTGTTAAACAAAAAATTACTTTTGAGCAAACCGGCGCGCGAAAAGTCGCCCTTTACGCACATGATGGGATTTTAGAAAGGGCTCCCTTTCCACGCACCGGTCACACAAAATATCGTAGCCAACATGTGCGGATCGTGCGGATTGTCACACTCGGCTTCGCCTCGTGCGCCAAACTTTCGCACTCTCGGCCGATTTACGATTCCCCGCACTTGTTAGCTAATATATTATTTCGAACATTGGAACGAGACTAGTCGTTTCTTATAATTTTTTGGACGCTAAACACAAATCTGTCTTCAAAATTGCTCTATCAAATCACAATTTTAAGAGACATGCAATTAAAGTTGCAAAAAGAGCTATTTTCACGAACTTTGTTTATAACTACAATATACGACATGCTAAAGAAGCTTTCTTGCAACCAAAATAAAGTATATTGTTAAAAAATTCAACTCTCAATAGGAATTTTCAGTATCGGTTATGATTTATAAGACAGTCATAGTTGAATATGGGGCAGAAGTTAGCTGTGACTTACTTAGGTTGACGAGTTACAAACAGTTTTATATTATGTTTATTTATTCTTTAAAATCTTTTAGGTCACTGAATACGAACTCAATGTCAAAATTGTCAAATTCAAAATGATTCTCGATATGAGGAATGCAAAAATTAAAAAATTTCTTTTATAAATCCGCTATATTCAGCTCACAATTTTGACAATTTTGACATTGGATTCATATTCAGTGACCTAAAAGACCTTAAAGAATAAATAAACGTAATTTAAAACTGTAACTCGTCAATCTAAGTAAATCACTTATTTAGTCAGCTAACTTCTGCAATACCCCATATTCAACTATGGATATCTTATAAACCATAACCGATATCAAAAATTCCTATTGAGGGTTGAAAGTCCTAATATACTTCATTTTGTCGGCAAGAAAACTTTTTTAGCATGTCGTATATTGTAGTTATAAACAAAATTCGTGAAAATAACCGTTTTTGCAACTTCAATTGCATGTCTCTTAAAATTGTGACTTGATGGAGCAATTTTGAAGACAGATTCGTGTTTAGCGTCCAAAAAACTATAAAAATGACTAGTCTCGTTCTGAAGGTCGAAAGAGTAATTTTTTATTTAACAGTGTTATAAAGGAAAAATGTTAGTTTTCGGACAATTTTACATGTCAAAGAATTTTGTAGTGTTGTTTCATTGAAATATCTTTTTATCTAAAAATTGCACGCAAAAATTTTCAGCATGTATTTTCTCGCCTTTAACGTCACGATTTTGACATGGTCGGCAAGAATCAAGAAGCCTTAAGAAAAATCAAGTAGAACATTACATGATGCGATAATCTGTAATCTAGTAACTATGTATAATAGCAATATAGTAATTGCAAAAAAAAACTTTATGTATATTTGCTGAAAGAAATAGTAATTTTCTTACAGTAATAATTGCTACTAAAGAGTCAAGCCATACTTCCAATTAATATTAATGTTTCATTATTAAATTTACATTCGTACGACAGAATATTTACTTCATGATGCGATGTCGACGACTCTTCTGGAGATGCTCCTCAATAACGTTTCAATATAATTCCATTATCAATATACAGGGTGAGTCATTTTAATCAATACACGTAAATATATCGTATAGTGAACAAGATGGAAAAAATGTTTCAAACTAAAGTTCTTTGACTTCGAGGGAAACTAAGATGATGTCATTGATTTGACCTTATATAATCATTTGAAAGTCACGTGAAGATCATCTTCAATTTCTTAAATAAAACCTGCTATTTTTCATTACATATTCTTATAGCTTATCCCAAGAGCTTTCCAAAATCCTATAATAAAGTGTTTTTTCATGAAATATCTTGTAAAATATCTTGTAAAATATTCAGTTTTTGATCATCATAATTTAATACTTTCATGCACGGAATAATGAGACCAATTAATTGATGTAAAGAAAACACATAGTTGCTTTTAAAAAACTGTTGCAAATTACATATGTACATCTTTTTTAAGGCAACTATGTGTTTTTTACACCAATTGAATGGTCTCATTATTCTGTGCATAAAAATATTAAAGTATGATTACCGAAAACTGAATATTTTACAAGATTTTATATTTTATGTCAAAAAATTGTTAACTTCAAACCTTTATCATTCAAAAAGTATTTAATGAAAAATTATTCATTATAGTGTTTTGGAAAGCTCTCGAGATAAGCTACAAGAATATGTAATAAAAAATGGGGGTTCCATTAAAAAATTAAGTTGATCTTGATACGACTTCTAAATTAGATTCCAAAGTCAGGATCAAGGTTACCATCAGATGTCCCCCTCTAACCCCTATAACTTTTGTACAAAACATTTTTTTTCATCTTGCTTACTTTACGAGATATTTACGTATATTGATTAAAGTGACTCATCCTGTATAACTCACGATAACAATAATTGGAGATAAATAACAATGTCAGTGATAGAAACTTGTAATTATTCGATCAATTATTCAGTCAGGATAAACATGTGTACGCGTGTATATGTGTGTAGATGTAAATGGGGTAAATCTACGTGTAGATGTAAATGGGGACAGTGTTAAATGTATGTTAAACAGTGTAAAAGATGATTCATTGTGGAGATACAGACCATCCTCACCTGGTAAACTTCCCTTGGCGCGGACCCCCCCACGAGCGGCCAGCCGCTGGACCCCACGGACCCCTGAAGCTGCGGGGTTGCGTCCCCCCCTGACTGGCCCACGGACTTGCGGGCCACCGATTCGGCCACGTGGCACTACTCCACGGCCACGACCAGCCTGACCAAATAACACACACCCAAATTGTTACCCTATCCAATTACATAGTCATTTGCATATATCTTTTCAATCTTATCTTATATATTTTTTTAAATTATTTCTTCTATCCTATATATGTGTGTATATATATATATATATATATATATACACACACATACATATACATATATAGGATAGAAGAAAGGGCCACTCTACTATTATATATATATATATATATATATATATATATATATATATATATATAAATTAAATTACAGTAGAGTAGCCCTTTAAGGGATGTAAGTTATTAACATACAATAAAAATAAAAAAAAATTGGTCAACATATGGCTAATCAGAGTATTTTTTTCTACACATATATGCATATTTCACATATTTAGAGATGTACATATATGTACAAGGCTTATGTATGTGTGTGCGCATATACATATATATATATATATATATATATTTTATGCGCACACATACATATATCATGAACATAGCGTGAGAATAGATTAGTAACAGAGAAAAAAAAAAGAATGAAGGAAAAGGAGAGAAGGAAGAAAAGAGAAGAGGAAAGAAAAAGAAAAGAGATAAAAAAATATAGCGAAAGACAAAACGAAAATGAGAGAAAGCATGAAAAAGAGAGGGAAAACGCGGCAGAAGAGATAGATCCTATAACCAAATCTTTACTAACCACGTGTTTTTTTTTACATACAGCAGTAGGAGTTAGCAGAGTTATCCAATGTAGTAAAGCGAAAAGCGAACTGATTGGTTGGCGTAGGAACTTTTAAGCGACACAAGCTATTGCACTGGTAGCTAAAACAAAATTCAACCAAAAGGCGTATTATATAAATAAATGGCGCAACATTATTAAGCGATTAAAAAAAGTGATTCATAAGCAGCTGGAAGCTATATGGGTATATCTTATATACATGAAAAAGAAGGGGGAAGGGCGGGGCGGGAAAACGGACGGCGAGAGCCAAAGCAAAAGTTGTGAGATGTGTGTTTACTGGTGCTATATACGAGAGGGGCACATAATCTTCTCTATTCCGTCATCTATCTTCTGTGATGGTTTTTATCACACAACCTATGCACAATACATAATATAACAAGTGATATAATTAATCATATAATTAATTAGGTAATACATGTACAATAAATTATTCGTGAATAAATTCACATGACATCCCTCAAGTTGAGACACATTGTTTATAACTTGCGACAAACTTTTCCTCTTGTTCAAACTTTTCCTCTTCGAACTTATTAGCATTTATATACAAAATTTTATATAAAATATACTATATATAAAGTATACTATACGTATAACAATTACATTTTGCTAGTTATGTATAGTACTACAGTAATTATAGCTATAGTATACTAATATAGTATAGTAGTATACTATAGTCACAGTATACTATGATACTATAATTGTCCATAGTATACTATGGTACTATAATATATACTACTATACATCACTATAAGTAAGCTACAGTAGAAACTATAGTGCTGTATAGTAGTATGTGTTATAGTGATACAATTATAGTACTATAGTGTACTATAGCTATAGTACTACATTACTATACTGTAATAGTATACTATATATGATTGTATTACTATAGTAACTATACACATCTAGCATGCTATAACTATTATATGTATGGTATACTTTATATATACCATACTATGTGATCGTACTATACTATAATATATACGACTATACAGTACTATAGTATACTATAAGAGTTATAGTATTGTATTATAGTATGGTATAATTACTATAATATATACTACTATAGTACATCACAATAGAGTACTATAATATAGTGTAATATAGTTTATATAGTATAGTACTATAAGTGTAATTAATATAATATATTGTAGTATATACTACTATAATATAATGCAGTGTACACAGTATAGTATAGTGCTGTAAGTATAGTTTAACTTGTTCGTGTATATGTATATGTATGTGAATCATGTGCTACCCCCAAGCGTTAAACGATTGTTTACTCAAATGTAAAATATAGAATATTCAATATCGTAAAAACACAAAAATATATCGCTATATTTCTTATACAAATGCATTTCGATATTCCTGTAAAAGATTTAATTGAAAAAAGTACGACTGTTTATGTTTATGTACAATAACAACACTACATGAAAAAGCATTAAATATTTTCAAAACATTATTGATTGAAAAAAGTATACTAGATTATGTAATATATATGACAATAATAAAATAAAATAATGATATAAAAATTCCATTTATTGTACAATATACCTTTATATGTACGCGTGTTATTTATTTTTTATTCTTAAAACAAATTTTTATTTAATAAACTGCATAATTAAAAAAATATCCTTAATATAATAGCACCAATAATAGTATAATCATGAAATAAAAATGTATTTCCTCCTCTCTCTCTACATTATAGTTAAAAAAAAACAACGCCGGGTAAAACATACTATACTAAGACAACATATAAGACTGAATACATACTGTGTACAACAATAGTTAAACATTAACAAGAGAGAAAGTTGATCTTAATGTAAAGATATGGTAAAAATAAAACGGTAAAAAAATTTTGCGCCTTGTACCCATACACTCTCCTACGTCATATTTGGATAACCCTGTAACTAGACATAGAAAAAGTATATCATATCCGAGCCACGAGACGCAACGTCGCTCTACAGGAAGAAAAAACAGTGAATTGTTTGTATATAGATTTTTATATATATGTGCATGTGTGTATGTGAGAGAGAAAGTCCTGTACGCTGCTTTCTGCCTATATCTGGAATTCTCCTGAAACTGTGCTAGAGGGCAGCAGTGAGAGAAAAGTAAGATTAAGAGATTAATCCTGCAACAATATAAAAATGTGCAATCTTCTTCCTTCCTTCAGAGAATTTTTCGAATAATTTAATTACGTTTGGTTTCTATATTCTGCATATTTCCTTTCTCTTTTCTTTCTTTCTATCTTTCTATCTTTTTGACTGATAAATTGCTTTTCCCGGCTGTATATCTTGTTTGAAAATTTAGAATGGGTCTACCATGGCTCAGATATGATTTGCAAGCAATTTGAAAGTGGCAAAGTGTTCGGATTAAAGGGATTAAAACTAACTTTAGTATTAAAGCGTTGGCATTGTTAAACAGTATATATATTAGGATTTGTGCGTACGTGCGTAGATGTATGAGTGTGCGCATCCGTGCATGTGTGTGGGTATATCTCTATGTAAATACAATGCATCACAGTGTACTTTAAACAGCATTCATTCTTTAATTAATTAATTCACTAATTAATTAAATAATTAATTAATTAATTAAATAATTAATTAATTAATTAATCTATCCATTTATTAATTTATTCATTCATTTACATTCATTCATTCATCCATTCATTCATGATAAATATTCATCCATTTATCTATTAATTAATCTATTCATTTATTTATTTATTCATGCACTCGCTCTCTCTCAAAATTCATTCAAAAATTCTAAAGCTCGGATGAGTGCTATTATTGGTATACTGTGAAATGCATTTATTATGCAAATATTATGAAGGCAATATACATTAAAACACACATTTTTTGTGTGCATTTCCTTGGACGTTAATTAATAATCATAAACTATAGGCAATTAGCCAGCGTTAAAATTTGCACACGCTCAGATAAAGATAATATATGTATATAAGCAGAGAGTGAGATATCTTATAGGCAAAAATTGGAAAAACGTATAAATACATATTAGGAGAATCCGCGAACACTGTGCCACAGTCAAACTACCGCTCTAATATACACAAAATAAAAAAGATAATTATACATAATTTCAGAAACAAAAATGACTTTTTAGAACCATGAAAAAAAGCGACCCACCGGTTGAGGCTGCCTGCCTCTCCCTCTGGCAGGCGGCGGAGGCGGTGCATAATCGAAATAGTAATCTTCGTATCGATAATAGTCATCGTAATAGGGATCACTGTAGCCACCTCGATAATCCCCATAACCGTAATAGTCGTAATCATAATCTATAAAAACACACATTACAAATAGACCCAAATTTAGCCACGATATATCCAATTTTAGCAACATTACTAAAATAATATAACATTATTTCAACAATGCTAATTCAAATATTATAAAAAAGGCATGCCGGGAAAAGATAATTTTGAAAAAATGCTAAATAATATTAACAAAAATAAAAAATTAAAAGAGAGAAAAACAAAAATAATTTCATAAAATTATATCGCACATAAAATGACTCGTATAACAAAAAAATATACGGTTTTTCAGCAAACAAAAAAAAACAATAAAAAACTCATTGTCAGTTGCAATTATATATAATATTGTATAACAGTACCACACGAGTAACTATATATATTCATTATCCTATCATACTTCTTTTGATAAATAGTGTAAGATTATTCGAAAATTTCACTCCAAAAAATATTTAAAAATAATAATTTAATTTGAATAAATATTTCAAATGTTTGCTATTGAAAAGGAGGATGTTAAAAAAAGTCGATTTCCCGACTATCGATGGAACCTAAAATTTGAGTTCCATGGATATCTATGAACCATATAAGATGTAAAAATGATGGTCTTTTTTCTTAGAGACCTAAGGAAAGTATTGAAAATCTATCAAAACTATTGAAAGTAATGTCATTCGATCGATCTGAAGACAACTAAAATCGATGACATGGATGAATTTTCAATCAAACCAAGTTCTGGTTAAGCACTTATTAAATAGTTTTTGAGATCAATAATATTTTAATATCGGGATCGCAAAATTCAAGATTGCGGATCCGATATGGTAGATCAGTATTGAGAGAAACTAGATTCCAGGATGTAGTTACTTCCGAATAAAAGATCTGATTCCACATTCAAATACATTATGTTTTTTAGTTTTATTATTTAAATATTTTTGTTTCAATGTTGAATATAATTCTTTAATTCTAATGTAAAAAATATGAAAACTATTAATATTTTCTATGTATTTTTTATTCGGAAGTAACTACATATCCTGGAATTTAGTTTCTCTCAATACTGATCTACCATATTGGATCCGCAATCTTGAATTTTGCGATCCCGATATTACAATATTATTGATCTCAAAAATTATTTAATAAGTGCTTAACCAGAACTTGGTTTAATTGAAAATTCATCCATGTCATCAATTTTAGTTGTCTTCAGATCGATCGAATGACGCTATTTTCAATAGTTTTGATATATTTTCAATACTTTTCCCAGATCTCTAAGAAAAAAGACCATTATTTTTACATCTTATATGGTTCATAGATATCCATGAAATTTTAGGTTCTATCGATAGTCGGAAAATCGACCTTTTTTAACATCCTCCTTTAGGAAAACCATCTAATTCAGTAATAATAATGTTCTGATGATAAATCCTGACATTCATAATTTTTTAATTCAATCTGCTGTAAACAAAAAATATTTATCATACAGAGCCGAAAATATGTCAATAGGAATCGCTAAACACAGATATATTCTAACCTACCTATTCAATTATACCAGATTTAATATTTATTTAAATTATTCTAAGTCAAAGACTCGCAGACTAAATTGCGATTTTCTTCCATTGGTTCGTTTATGAGTCATAATGCGATTTTATAGAGAAGAGCCAGGACAAATTTTGATATTTAACGGATTTCGTAATTTTATAAAATATACCCAACAATATTGTTGTCCGAACTTTCGCATTTTATTTATTTTAACTTCATTTTGTATTTTATATTAGTGACAAAAGTTCAATCAGTTCTGGGGATAATGCAAACATGCAGTTGGATGCGATTCTAGTTGGTTAATAGCAACTGACTGACTGTAGTTTGTTTTATTATTTGTTTCAAATTTTATTGTTTACAAATCAAAAAAGTGTGTTTACAATTCTGGAAATTAGACTAGACTCTCCTATACTGAATCATTTACCTGCATGTTTATTCTTCATTTTTTCAACGTCATTCTTAAAAAATTAGAAATAAACTTAAAAGCAGACAATTTGGAAAGTAAGCCATTTTACCTATCTATTTATAGAATTATATTCACACTTCCGATTCGCAAACAATACATTTCCAATACAATCCAAGTCATAATCGACTATACACCATTCAACGAGAGAATGTGCATCGATAAAATAGGAAAAATTCCGGCTTTGGAGACCTGGTGCCATTCATTGCAAACACTGCCAAGTTAAATAAGCAGCGAACGGGAAAACTTGGGCGAAAACTTGCCCAACTGAACCAACAGCAAGGGCAGCAAAGCAGAAGAACACGCAACCAGTTGATTCTAATTATTATTACTATTATTATTATTATTATTATTATTATTATTATTTTTGCTTTGGATATTTTATATAAGTCGTTAGTAGAAAATTAAGCTTAGATTTCGTAACCAAACTAAGAATTATTTATTTTTTTTAAAATACGACATTTCGACCATGTGGTTGTAGTCCTTCTCAAGTGAAATACAAATTACGATAAAAATATGAATGCTTTTTCGTATGTAATAATCCGTCAATAAGTCAAAAAAAGGGAACATTATGTCACTACGAGGATCGTCAGAAAAAAAATTATTATTTCAGTTGATATCAATAATAAATTTTAACAATATGATGAATAATTATGAGAATAACAAGCAAAAACCGTAATTTTCAGGATGTATGAGAGATACAATCAGAGACAAAAGTTCAACGCTATTCATCTTATAGAAAATCGCTATAGTTTAATATCCTAACTTTCACAGCTGTTTTCAGTGTCCGAATGCTCAGAAATCGAGAAAAAACAAATTATTATTTTCGTCTAAATGATTTAGTGAATGTTAGTAAATGTCAATGTAATTTTGCAACATTATTCTTTAAAATTTCAGTTATATATGTAAAAAATTTAAAATACATGGTACCATTTTTTCGATATTTTTATAATATCATCAGAATAATCAATTTTCATAAAATTATATGTAAAACTAGCAGAAATTTAAATTGCAATAATTTTTAAGTGAGTTAGTGAATTAAAAATGTTAATAATAGTTTTAGTATAAAGGAGAAGCAATCTATATAATTTTTATTAATTTTGTACCATTTTTAGATGTCTCTCATACATCCTTAAAGCCTATAGCAGATAACTAAAGCAAGCGCTTACGTCTATCGTAGTGGTAGACGTAAAATAATGGTCGATTTACATCTATCGTAATGTCTATCATAAGCTTCTTTCGACGTCGTAACATATATTATACATTTTCAATTGCTGGCTGTCAATTTTAGAATATAACCCCAATTACCTGCATTCTTTACTTGGCTGTCGACACTATTTGTTACACACAAAGCTTAGAATGCTAGAATGCTTTATGTAGACAGACAATGCTTGCAACTTTTTTTTCTTTACGATTACGATCGCTTACGATAAAGTGTTACGATGGATGTAGATGGGCCTTAAAGCAGAGAAAATGCGTCACTAGTAATAAGTTGACTTATGTAGTTACGTATTTTCTCTGTCTTATTTTACGTTTATGATTATGACTACGACAGACGTAAGCGTTTACGTTTAGTTCTCTGCCATAGGCCTAAGGTTCCTGATTCCTTATCGATTATGTTGGAACTGTGATGTCAGAAGCGAGAAAATACATGCTAAAAATTCTTAAATACCATTTCAAAATAAAAAACCATCTTAAGTGTTGTTTCATCGAAATATCTTTTCATTTAAAAAATGGCATCTAAGAATTTTTAGCGCGTGCTTTCTCGCCTCTGAAGTCACAATCTAACATGGCCGCGGCGAGAACCCAGAAGTCTTAACCTTGAAATGATAAGAAAACAAAGATTTATAGTAATAATATAATATATTTTTGTATTAATATAATATTTAATATAATAATTAATTTAATATGATATTGCAATAATATAATATTTGTAAAATTATGAAATATCTTCTCCCGATCTTATTTAAAGATGTGGCAGATGTAAGCAGGGTGCAAAAGTTCAAAGTAATAAACTATTAACTATAGTAAATAAAATATAAATCTACCAAAGAGAAATGTGTATGAATATCCTCATTTTAAAATAGAAAATGCAAAATATTTTTTAAATTGGAATTTTTCCATTTGAAAAATATAAAATACTTTTTAAATATTTATTTAAAATAGAAAATGGAAAATATAGGCATTTCTTAAATAGATTTTGAAAATAAAATAATTTTCTTATATATATATATATATATATATTTACATTTTATATTTATTTATTTAAATTTGTATTTTTTTATTATTTATATCTCTTACTATTATTTTTTAAATTCGTATTTCTTTAATATAAACTTGAATTACAAAAATTAAATTACATATAGGATTAAAAACGTTTGCCTACATCACAGATATTTAATTATTCTTTTAAAATCACAGTTTGATTATGATATTCTTCAGAAATGGAAGTTTCAGAAAAAGTCTCAAAGAAGAAATTCCTTATTTTTCTTCTACAAAGTTTCATAATTAGAAAAATGCATTTAAAAATAGAAAATGGGTAATGAAAATCATTTAAATGGAAATGTAAAATAATTTTTGTAAAAAAATATATTTTAAATGCAAAACACAAAATGGGCATCTTGTATTTTTATTTTATATGCATCTATTTCAAACAATACACATCTCAGAACTCTATCAATGTGGCAAGTTTGATTACCTACTTTATTGTACAAAAATTATATGGGATGCCTTCTTCTCAAATATATGTATAAAATTTAATAACCAAGCTCGTATTGAATTTGCCTACCTAATGTCACAGAGAGGCAGAGTAAGTCACACCTTGCTCTATTTTTATTAATCTAACAAGTAACTAATGATACAAAAAATGGTAGCAAATTTTTAAGTTTTCTTTAATATATGCATATCTGTGCCTAACGGCTCATATTGTCCTTAAAAAAAATTCTATTACTAATGCAGTTTCAAAAATATTCAACATTCAATAAATCATAAAAAAAACTTCTAAATCTCGCAGCGTTTACATTATCGCTTGGAGAAAATTGATTTTCAATTAACCTCGCAACATGTACTCAATATATATTCAAATATATTTAAAAAAGGCATTAAAATGTAAAACGAAAAAAATGAACACTACATATATAATACTCTACAACTGTGCATTCAACCATTCATTATCGCGGCTTACCTATTTCCTTGAGAGCTGTAAACAGATTTTTGAATTGATGATGCATTGCACAAGGTATGCGAAATACACGCACGCTCACAAAAAAAGGAAACAAAAAATCTGAAGTAAGAAATAGAAGAGCTATGCAAAAATTGTTGTTTCTGACAATGCAATGTTAAACTTCGTGCACTGCCACAGAATAAATAAAATTGTCACTAGTATAATTCTCAGAGCACCAAAATTAAAAATACAAAACAGATAGAGATGAATATACATGCAATTGACGTTTGTTAAATAAAAACAAAAGACAGATGTCACACAGAAGATAATAGTGATAAGGCAACAAGATGTTTGTTGATTTTTACAATGCTATGCACACATCTAATATCATACATATATGTATTCACACACACAAACACGCGCACACACACGCAACACACAAAATGTTATTCTCTCAATTATTCTAAAATTAAAAATTCAAACCAATTATATTAAGTGGCAAATAAATTAATTATTATACGTCGAGTTAATTTTACATCGATTTAATCCGAGTACTCTCAATTTATTGAAATACTTTGATAAAGCAAAAATAATTTATATAATTTTTCTTGTATAAAATTTATATACAGGGTGTCCGGTAACTAACGGACCAATGATTAAGGACGGACTCTCTGGCCAATTTGGAGACGATTTTTTCTTAGCAAAAATGTTGAGAAGTCAATAATTTTCGAGTTATAAGTGATTGAAAAAATGGGTTTTTTAAAAACTAAACGTTTTGGAGTTAAAAGTCTAACATAATTACATTCTTCAGTTAATTTCAGGTAGAGTTTACTATAATAAAATTTTAATTTGAGGCTTAGTTATAAAGATACATAATGACAAATATTGAAAAGTTGTAAAAAATGATGAACTTTTTCGACATTTTCGCTGAGGAAAAATCGTTCCCAAATTGACCAAAGAATCCATTTGTAATCGTTGGTCCGTTAGTTACCGGACACCCTGTATATTAATTTACTTAAATGTAGCTGTATACATTTATTAATTTAAAACAGATTTAATATTTTATACGAACATATAGAATGTGCTGCATTATATAAAAAAATTATAATTATTATCGAATTTTATGTTAATATGTCTTTCTTATGTCAAATATTATTATACAATAGGAATATAAGAAACATAAGAGTTTTAGTCAAGATTAAAATAATAAAGATTAATAATCGAGAAAACTATCAAAATTTACAGTGTCTCATTTTAATTTATCACCCTGATTAATACGGTTATGTATCAATTTATGAAAAAAATGTTTGAAATAAAAGTTGTAGAATTTTGAGAGGAGAAAGAAGATGCGCTATACTGACTTTTTCCTAAAGGACACTTTTAAAACTCTTTTATTTATTATTTTTTTATTAAAAGAACCATTCAAGTCTTTTTTATAAAAATTAAATGCTAATATTCGGTATAATTGCAAATTACATACTTTAAAAAAGAATGTTTTCTTTACATCAATTGATTTCTTTCATATTTTGTGCATATTGAGATAAGATAATTATTCATTTCTTGACTAGTTTAACCTTATAACTTTTTATGCTAAATATTACGAGGTTTATAAAATTATAAACCTCGTAATATTCAGCCAAATTATATAAAAAAATAAAATCTTTTCGTTCAAAAACTTCCGTGGATATTTTGTATAATAAAAATATACTTTCGTATTTATACATTTTTTAATTTAAATAATAACCACACGTAAACCTAAATGTTGATCATAAATAAATGTAGATCGAAATAATATTTGACGTTCAATAAACTAACGTTTATCGTTTGTTGACCATGTTAATATATATATATATAGTATAAGTTTTTTAATTTTGAGGTTTATTAATCCAGTCTACAGGAAATTATATCTTATATGAATGTGAGAGTACTCGTATAACCGATGCTTACCCCATGCAATATGGGTAATATGTAATATATAAAAAGGTGAATGTCTCTGGATATTTCGAGTTCTAAATATAAATAAATAAAAATAAATGCATACATACAAATACATACATACAACATACATATATACATAAATACATATGTATGTACGTACATATGTACATACATATGTACATACATACATAAATACATACATAAATACATACATATGTATGTGTCATAAAAATCTCAATTGAGAAATTTTTGACGTTTAAATAGAAATTGTTATTGCTCGAGCGGAACGAAAACACATATATATGTACGCTATATCCATATACGTGACATTTATAAAAAAATTACTAGTTTTTATTTTGTAAAAATCAAAGTTGCAAGATTATATGTATTTTTTTTAGAAATACATGAAACGATTCGGCAAAGAAAAAAGAGAAAAAAGAAACAAAAATTGATACTAACCGTAATCGCCTCGTCCCATCTGTCCACGCATACCTGCGCCGGTACCCCGAGGTCCTTGTGTAGGTCCACGAACTGGCATTGGTCCTCCCATCATGCTCGGGTGAGATGGAGATCCACTGTGGAAAAGAGAAAGAAAAGGAAAAAGCTACATTATATCCTCTTGATTTTGGATTGATTTTATAAAAATAAAGAAAAAAGAGATAATATAATAAAATGAATAATATAATAAATAATAAAAGAGATAATATAATAAATTAAATAATAAAGAGATAATATAATAAAATAAGAGATAATATAATTCTACTAAAACTAGAATATAATGAACGCTGCATGGAAATAATTAAGGCTTTTGATTCTTTGTCGACCATGTTGAAATTGTGACGTCAGAGGCGCGAAAACACGCCAAAAATTCTTAGAAAAGCTATTTTAAAATATAAAGATATTTCGATAAAACAGCATTTCAGATGACTTCACACTCTTAAAATATCTTGAAAACTATTCTTTCCCCTTTATAACACTGTTCAACAAAAAATGACTTTTTTTCGAACATCGGAGGCTAGTCGTTTCTTATAATTTTTTTGGATGCTGAACACAAATCTGTCTTCAAAATTGCTCCATAATGTCACAATTTTAAAAGACATGCAATTAAATTTCCAAAAAAGACCTGCTTTATTTTGATGGCAAGAAAACTTCTTTAGCATGTCGTATATTGTAGCTATAAACAAAGTTCGTGAAAAAACCTCTTTTTGTACTTTAATTGCATGTCTTTTAAAATTGTGACGCGATGAAGCAATTTTGAAGACAGATTCATGTTCAGCGTTCAAAAAACTATAAGAAATGAATAGTTTCGTGCCGGTGTTTTTTTTTTAACAGTGTAATCAATCAAATAGCTGTAAAACGACTATCATATGTGTCCCATTTTACGGTTCTTGATTAACGAAGAAGAATAGTTTTCGAAGCATTGTGAAAGTGCTAAAACCATCTGAATACGTTTCATCGAAATATCTTTTCATTTAAAAATGATATCTCAGAATTTTCAGCGTGTATTTTCTCGCCTGACATCACAATGTGACCGCGGCGAAAATCCAGGAGCCTTAACTGAAAACGCAAGTATCAGCTCAAGTAAAGATAGCTTACCCGCCTCTACCCTGTAACATTTGCATCATTCGTCTCTCCCTGGCGCGCAGCATCTCTTCCTTCTTCTTTTTATCAGACGGTGGTTTTGCTAACGAAACTTCTATGTGAGATCCACCCATTTCTTTGCCATTTAATTCGTTCATTGCCTAATAAAAAGAAGACACAAATATACATTAATCAATTTATATTCAAAATAAAGGAGCCCTTATGAAATCCTTAAAAATTAAATTTCGATGAAATTACCTATTTGTTTTATATGTTGCAGCTTATAATCTCTTGAACAAAAAATGTAATAGGTTCGAAACTAAATAATAGATAGCTACTGATTTAGCTAGTCAAATACGAAAAATTTAGATTCTGACGAGTTGTTGACTGGCTGTAATTCAGTAACTGTCCATTATTTATCTCTGAAACTAATACATCTGTTCAGCAGGTCATAAGTTACAATTATAAAAAAATTAGTCAATTTCATTAAAATCCAGTTTCCCTAAAGATTATGCCGGATCCTTTTAATATATTGATTACACTGATACACATTGGTTTTTATTGTCAATTATTTTAGAGCAATTTCAGTAATTTATGTCACTGATTCCGAATATGACATTGGTTTTTTCGTCTAGATTATCATCTATATAATTTTATTTAAATAACAAACGCTGCGCATATGTCAGCAATTCCAGGGTAAAATTGTAATTTGAGTACACATCTCAAAAACTAGAGCAAACATTCTAAATTCGCTCAAGCATCTTTAGCAACAGTTTTTGTTTTGTTAACCAGTTTTGTTATCAAATGGGAAAAAACCAGTATGTTATTAGAATACATCTTACCTTAACGGCATTATCTCTATCTTCAAAATGTATAAAGGCGTAATCTTTGATTTTCTTCACTCGCTCAATTTTGCCGTATTGTTCGAAGCTTTCCTTCAACTTCTCCTCGGAACAATCTTGCGTCAAATTTCGTACGTAAAGCACACGTACCTGAAACAGAGAATAAGTTTCTTAATTTGTATAGCATAACAAATATAAAAAGGCTATAAAAATATAGCATATATATAATTGATGTAAGAATAATGAAACTCAATTGCATCGATCTTTACTTTGGACATGGTCTGTTCGTCTGGCTCCTCTTGAGGATCGGCCCAATCAACAATAATATCACATCCCCAAACCTTGATACGTCCGGTGCTCAATCTTCGCTTGGCTAAGGAAGCCGCTTTGTGAGATTCATATTCCAAAAAGCAAAAACCTCTATTCTTCTTTTTGTCGTCTGGTGAGCTGTAGATAATCACTTCCGTCAGGCCAGCTGTATATCGGAAAAAAATCATACGAGAAGCGGATGAGATTCGCTCGAACTTTTATAATCTTGACAATCGCAAAATTTTTAAGAATTGCTACTATAATAAAAAATAGAAACTTTGCAAAAACAAAATATAGATTTAAGTAGCTATTTTATGTATGATGTTACCGTAAGAGATTTGCGTTATGTAATCTCTTGAATATTTTTAAATTTTTAATGTATCAAAATATTAAATCATTTATTTTTCTTTACAGAATACTATTATATTATATATTATTGCATTTCGATTAACAATAATTATCCATACATACAAATTTTTGTTATAAGATAACGTATAAATATTATAATAAATAGCTTTTAAATTCCGACAACTGTATTTTTACTTATTTTTTAATATTTGATACAAAAAATACTGCTTGTTTATAAATTTAAAATCAGTATTTAGTTAAATTAAAGATAAAAGTTAAATAAAAGATTGCATTAGTCAGACACTATATGTTATTCAATTTACAAAATATCTATAACAATAACGCTTGAATGTATCTTCAAAACGAGATTATTAAATTTAAACTTTTTAAATTATTATTTCTATTTTATTATTTGCAGTGTTTTCTGCACTTTTTAAAAAGTAATATACTTAAAATCTAAAAAAGATAAAAAACAAATTAAGAAGAACAAATTAATCGAACAATTTTACTGATAAACACAAACTATTTAAGAGAATATAATATAAATAAAAATAAGAGTAATATTACGTCACCAACACTGTATCACAATAAAATTGTGGAATAAAAGGCTACAGATAAACCAAGATTGAAAGAACAGAAAAAAATGCAAAGATATTATTAATAACTACAAAGAGAAAGATTAAAAGCTCTCTAAATTCTGTATAACACACTCTTTCGATATACATATGTTTGAAACCTTTATTTTTACTTTTTACTGAATCTGCATATTTGAAAAATTTGAAGATTAATCATTTCAAGACATGTAAACACTATATTATTAAGAATTCTCATGCTATTAGAATTCTCATGCAATAACTCGATCATATATATACGCAAAGACTGACATTCTAATATTATATATTCTCCGACTTTTAATCCTGAGATATGGCAACATATTCTCTCTCTCTCTCTCTCTCTCTCTCTCTCTCTCTCTCTCACACACACACACGCGCGCACACACTCATTCACTCACTCACACAGTCTCTCTCTCTCTCTCTCTCTCTCTCTCTCTCTCTCTCTCTCTCTCTCTATATATATATATATATATATATATATGTCTCATTCTAATCTAAATTGACAGATCCTTCTCAAAAGTACTGAGAAATTGTCAAATATGAGCAATTCGGCAATTTCCAGGGGAAGACTTATTTCTCTCAAAGTAACTCTCAAAAACAGTCCTTCTCTCCTTCCTCTCAGTTTAGAAGATATTTGGATAACAAAGCATCTCATCACATGTTACTGATAAATTTAAACCATTTGATTTCATATTTGTATATTAAACTTATAAAGCAGATATAATATACTTAAAACTTCCTTGTAATTGCTTACTAACACAATGCTTTCAAATTACAAGAATCGAAACAATTGTACACAGTTAAAAGGCTGTCGTTTTATGTAATTCTGTGAATACTAACATTTGATATCATTTTTCTTTTCTATGAAATAGTAGAAGTTAAAAAAACAAGAGAATAAACTTCAAACTTTGAAAAAGCTACACAAAGTGATTGTGCTGCCCTCTGGCGATAAAAAAAGAAAACTAACAGCGTTCTAGCTTTAAGTGTAACACTGTCACACATATAACGTTTCGTTGCTGAAAAGCACTTTAATTTGTATGTTGATGTTGGTATAAAAATTTATTCATAAAAATAAATGTAATGGATTAACTTTCTTCTATACCTATTATATTATAGTAAAAATAATTAGATGCCTTGTACTATTATATAAATATAGTACCCTTAAAATTAACTTCTAAGTCATTCCTATGCCTCATCAATTTAACAATGAAGTTTTTGCCCTTATCATTGTATTTTTTTCCATTAATCTCCTCTCTGTGTCCATATTCTCTGATGTTACATGCAAGAACCTTATGCACACATACATACAAAATATAGTGATTATCAGACACATTCGTTCAATCATACTGATCTCATTCTTTTTTATCAAATTTATATTTACACCGTACAACTGTTGTTTTCCTCTTTATATTAAATTCACTGTCTAAAGAGATGTCACGATAAACATTCATAAAATGTAATTATATTTTTTAAATCTTTAACATATTGATCTTTAACATTGTAAAAATTTAACACAATTATATATATATGTATATATATACATATGTATATATATGTATATATATATATATATATATGGAAATAAAATAAATAAAAAATTTTTATAAATATATATAAAACTAAAAAATAAAATATTGCTCACTAACAAATCTTTGTTTTAAAATATCAAATATTACCTATTTAATTCCTCAAAAATGCAAATAAAATAGAAAAATTTATATTATATATACTCTCCTGTAGCATATTATATATATTACAGAAGAGTAAGAAAAACTATGTCAAACAAATGACTCAAACATAATTGCAGTGTAAACTCATTTAGTAGGATACAATTATACACAATTATGATTACTTCTATTTATTGCAACAGTGCACTTTGACAACCCAAAATTAAAAAAAAATGAAGGAATCACACGATGAAGAGTTCACTTGGCTTATACAAATAAATACATTGACATTTATATCAAATATTGAAAGACAAAATCCAAAAAAATGAATAATAAAACTTTGGATTTTGTGTGTTTGAATATATTAAATTAATTGCAAGATTTTTTTTCAATATTTATGCAAGAGAGGGTTGAATTTAACCCACTTGGCACACATGCTTCTGCTAGAAAATTCGTGATTCGTGATTATTAAACAAATTTTTTTTTGTTCCGTCATCATCTCTTTCCCATAATAGAACTTCCAACTTGGATATAACTGCTCGCTGATTTAAGGACAATTGTCAACTTACGTGCGTGCTTTGTAAACTCTTCGAACAAGTCATCTCGGTCTCGATTCTTTGGAATATTTCCCACAAACAAGCGATGATTGTTATATGATACGGTAACACCAATCTTTTTCCCTTTCCGAATCTCATAATCATTCAGCTGTAAGAATAATGTGGAAGGAAAGTGCCAATTAAGCTTGCCATTTATGATTTTACCTGCTTATTGGCTGTGAACATGGGATTTCATGAAGCGCCCTTCGGAGGTGGAGAGGGGTATAAAGGGGGGACAGTTTGTGGTACACAAGAGAGCTCATGTCAAGAAATCATGATATCACGAAGGATCGTGGGGGATCGTATTCGTATAAAATCGGTTTCCAGGATCGATAGAGATCGTAGAGAGCGAAGGGTGAAGGGAGTGCCTGTCCGTTTGTTAGCGAGCCAAACGCCCCAGCGGTCCACGCAAATCTCCCATACCCCCAAAAGCTTGAGAGACTTGTGTCATGAATCACCTTTGCGCATTGCAAAATGGCAATAGTGTGAGATAGCGTGTATAAAGGACTCCGTACAAGGATTATGGGAATTGGATTTCGGTGAAATTGGCCGATTTTTTTCATATATTATAGCTTACAATCTCCTGAACCAAAGATGTAATAGCCTCAAAACTAAACTTAGATAGTTAATGAGTTACAGCCAGTCAAGCAATTCGCAGAGTCCAAGCTTTTCGTGTTTGACTGGCTGTAAATCGGTAACCGTTTATTATTTAACTTTGAGCCTATTACATTTTTTGTTTGACAGATCATGAGCTACATGTGAGAAAACCAGCTAATTTTATCAGGATTCAATTTTATTTAGGATTTGAAAAACTCCGTACTATATAATCCTATATAAAATTGCATCTTGGTAAGATCAACTGGTTTTCTGGTATATTGTAGATTATGATCTGCTAAACAAAAAATGTTTTATATGAAAAAATTTAATAATTTTATTAATTTACAAAAGAACACAGTAATTGACTAGTAATATTAATATATTTTAATTTTTTTTAAATATAATACAATAGAATCAAAACTAAATAATAGATATATATTATTATATACTATAGATAATAATAGATATACTATAGATAGTTAATTGATTTATAAGCGAGGTACTAAACATAAAAAATTTGGGCTCTCTGCGAGTTGTAATTCAGTAACCATCCATTATTCATGTCACAAACTACAATATATAAAAAAACTAACCAATTCCACCGAAATCCTGTTTCTATAAAGATTGCACGGGGTCCTTTTTTCCGTGTCGTCTGAGTAAAAAAACAATGTAAAAGTAACTTCCACATTTTCTTTTTTCATCTCTGCATCTCGTCTTTTTTTCATTGTATCTTAAAAAAAGAAAAAAAGAAAAAAGAAAAAAAGAAAAAACAAAGACAAAGATCAGTGCAATAAAGATTGATCGATCGGTTATGCAAAATCAGGAAGCAGAGGAGGAGCAAATGGGGAAAGGGTAAGATAATCGCATGTATAGAGAGAATAGGAAGCAGATAAAATTCGATAAAACTCAAACCTAAAATATATATATATATATATATATGTATGTGAGGAAAAGACTTGGACCAGAGAGGTGTTACTGTTCACTAATAAACCGAGAGGCAAGGAGAACCAGAACTAAAGGTGCCATAAGGTGTATATTCGCAGATTATGGAGTCAATGTGATCCTTGGATATGCTCCATAAATATAGTTTCCATACCATCTACAACCACTACTTAAAAACTACCACTCTTATAAGTTATATAATACAAGGTAAGACAGGTAGGTAATAGGTAGAGGTAAGGTACACACGCCTCGAATTCACTTTACCTGTTAATTTACCAAATTCCTCCAAGATCTCCTCTTTGCCTTTTGACTTTGGTATGTTTCCCACGAAAAGTCGTAGATTAGGAACGCTAATGTTTACTTTCAGACTCTTGCCGGGTTTTATTTCGTGATTATCGAGCTGTGGGATGAAGAAAACATACACATGCCTAATTTTGTTTCGTGATTTCTTTTTCGTAAGATGGTAAAATTTTTAAATTTTCATTTCGTTTTTTAAATGTGCAATTTAGAATACAATCATTATTAATATTATAAAGCGTGAAAGTTGGCATGGCTTTGTCGCTCGAATCTTCACAATATAGGAAACCGGCCTTTCACGTATCATTGTACTCCTGTAAATAAATTTTAAGCCTAACATTTTCCAAAAATTTTGTCACAAAAATGTCATCTGTCCAATGAAAATCGACCAATTAGGTAAATATACCCCTAACCAATTAGAGAGACCACACAATCAATTGTGATTTTTTTCGGAAAGGTTCTCCACTCCCAATTTTGCCCACTGAGCAAAGAGGAGAGCTGGAAAAAGAAACTCATTCATAGGACATCATTAATGAATATTTTTCGGTGTGTTAAATATTCGGGGGATTCAGTTGGATACACATATATATATATATATATATATATATATATATATATATATATAAAACTGCGCATAACACGAATAATAAATGGTCAGGACATATGCATATATATAAAACATACATTATGTGGATTGTTCTCAGCTAAAGTACACACGCATTTTCATGTGCGACATATATACATAATATGTGTACACATATACACATATGTATACACGCGCACGCATACATACACGCCTACACACACGCACACATATGCGCGCGTGCACAAACCCATTCATATACATACACACACATCCACATACGATATGTCTCACATTTTATTTTTGATGCTCAAATATCTCGATATAAGATGGACTTTTGGGATAAAAAATGTTTTGAGGCCACAGCTATGTTAGATTGTAACGTCAGCGAGAAAAAAACTAAAAATTCTTAAATATCACGAAACACTATTTCAAATAGCTTTAGCACACTTTTAAAATACCACGAAAATTATTCTTCTCCATTGACAATCAATCATCAACCGTAAAATAATTGTGATCAGACTTTTACAATTATTTTACAGCTATTGATTAATTATAAAGGGAAAAGAATAGAGTTTTCGAGATATTTTAAGAGTGAAGTGCGGTTTCATCAAAGTATCTTTTTATTCCAAAACTGGCATCTAAGAATTTTTATTGCGTATTTCTCGTCTCTGACGTCACAATTCCAACATGATCGGTGAGAAGCCAAGAGCCTCCTAAACAAAAGTTATCTACAAAGAAACCAAGCAAATCCGAAAATTCCAATTTGGATGGAACATTACATATATGTATGTAGAGGAGATAAATAGATGAATTTAAAAATTTTAAGTTGCAAAAACGATTCTAAACGATAAAACCATTCCTCATATATAGAATAGCTTTTTGTTTTTCTCGCAATGTATCTCAAAAAATAATCGAGGTATTAATAAATATTTTATACAAAATTGTCATAAAGTAAGATACCTCTATTTAATTATTATCAATGATATTTTGGAGATAATTTTTATGAAAAAAATTTCTCTTTAATAAAAAAAATATTTTTTAAAAATTTTATTAATAGTTTAATAGAGATGATCTCATCTCGAATATTTTTCATATCGGGATGGTTTCACTTCGTAAAATCGTTTTTAGATCAACTAAAAATTTCTAAATTTATTCTCTAATAATCACAAATAAGAACGGCTTAAAGAGCCATACGCGGATGTTGCTGCATTTACATTTCCAACGAAACTTAAGTTTTCATTGGAAATAAACCGTGCACAAGACACGTATCAATCTCGGTGTACTACCAAGACTTAAAATTTGAAATAAATCTCATACTTGAGATTTAATTTCAAAAAACCCCTAATTTAAAATCCCTAACCTTATTTATTCTCCCTAATATTTCATCAAAATCAGAATTTTTGGGTTCAACGTGATTAGTTTATAAAAAAACATACATACAATGCTGATTTTAATTCAACCTGAACTAAGTAATCTTTTTATTCAAAGTTATATCAAGATCATGAATTTTCTGAATAGAAAATTACCTAATCTAACCCCACTTTTATTGCATATAATTAAAGCTCTATAATATTAAAACATCTTCAAAACTATTATAACATTTTTTTGTTTAGCTTACTTTCCAAGTTGTCAATTTTAAAATTTATGGCATCTTGGCAATATTTTCAACTAAAAATCCTATAAATTTTGTTCCAAAAATTTTTTAAAACATCTTCAAAACTGTGACATTTCTTTTGTTTAGCTTACTTTCCAAGTTGTCAATTTTAAAATTTATGGCATCTTAACAATATTTTTAACTAAAAATCCTATAAATTTTGTTCCAAAAATTTTTTTGTACATCAATTTAAGAGATAAACAATTGTTTTCTTTAAAATAAATCCTTTAGAAACAACTGTTTTTTTATACCAATCAATTTTTCTCATTATATCTTTTTGCATAAGAGTTATTAAAATAAGATAATAAAAAAATGAATATTTGACGAAATATTTCATAATTTATGAAAGATTATGTAAAATTAAAGTGCAAAAGTATATCTCGTAAATGTAAATTATTTACTTTTTGACCATCATATCCTTATAACTTTTTATATAAAATATTGCAAGAAATCGATTTATATAAAAAAATATGGTAATTCTATTTAAAAAATTCGAAGTAATCTTGTCCTGATTTTGGCAATGCCTCTCAAGGTCCTTAAAAATGTTAGACATTTTTAAACCCTATAATTTTTTAAAATATTTTTTTTCAAAAATACGTAGTTTTCTCAAAAAAAATATTTCCCACATTTTTGGTAAACCCTTATATGTATATGTGTGTATTTCATAAATAATAATTAAGTATAAGATGTTCAGTCTATTATAAAAACTCAAATCTGAATCAACAATCAATAGAATCCTCAACATTTTTTAAAAATAATTATATCTAAATACTATACTAAAAATTAAATATATTTTTTGCAAAAGCAAGATTCATTTAAGAAAAATCGTATATTATTGACATGATAGAAGGACAAGAATAACATGATTATTGATTCTTTTCTCTTCTTCAAATTTTTTAAAGTTTGCTTATCATTCCTATCAATTCTTAAGCACAATATCAAAATTAGTTAAAGAGTGATGACAATAAGACCTGTTTTTCACCCATTTTATAGGGTCGAATTTTGGGACCTCAAATTGTTAACTTTTTTAATGCCAAATAGTACTATATGATAAGACATTAATTTTAGAGAAATTTGTAGATAAGCATAGGCACGGTTCCTTAGATATGAAGAAGTGAAAGTGATAATTTCTCATAAAACTGACTAAAAAATCAATTTTCCTCCTTGTATCTCCGGAACCGTGCCTATACTCATCTTGAAATTTTACTGGAATTAATGTTTCATCTCATAGTACTATTTGCCATCACTCTTTATTTAAATTTTAATGTCAAAGATAAATATTAACGTGATATTTTTGTTATTGAATTCTAAAAAAGTTTTTTGTGAATAAATATGAATACAGACTGATAACAAATTATACTTTTCTAGATTTATATTTTATTATATTTTTCGAAAAATCTCGATATCACATTATTCAGAATGTACAATAAAAAGTGAGGATATGTATATATATACACACACACACACACACACACACACACACACACACACACACACACACACACACACACACACACACACACACGCACGCACGCACGCACGCACGCACACACGCACACACACACACGCACGCACACACACACACACACACACACACACACACACACACACACACACACACACACACACACATATACACAGGGTGTCTGGTAACTAACGGACCAATGATTAAGGGCGGATTCTCTGGCCAATTTGGAGACGATTTTTCCTTAGCAAAAATGTTGAGAAGTCAATAATTTTCGAGTTATAAGCGATTGAAAAAAATGGGTTTTTTGAAAATTAAACGTTTTGAAGTTAAAAGTCTAACATAATTACATTCTTCAGTTAATTTCAGGTAGTTTACTATAATAAAATTTTAATTTGAGGCTTAATTATAAAGATACATAATGACAAATATTGGAAAGTTGTAAAAAATGATGACCTTTTTCGACATTTTCGCTGAGGAAAAATCGTTCCCAAATTGACCAAAGAATCCATTTGTAATCGTTGGTCCGTTAGTTACCGGACACCCTATATATATATGTATATATTATATATTTATTTTTAAATCTAAGTAATCCTGATCTCTTTGAAAGATCATACAAGGTCAAACTAATAAAAAAGCAGCATTGTATGTGTTTTTCAACTTCATTAAAACCAAGTAACACACTTTAAGTTTAAAATTTTAAAAAATCTTTACAACACTTGAGCATTAAAAATCAAATGGGACACCCTATGTGCGTGTACGTGTTTGTATATATGTATGAATGTGTAGGGTGTCCCATTTTAAATGATGCATGCGAATATCTTCAAAACTATTGGTGGTAAAGAAAAATATCTCAAGCAAAAATTCAATTTTGATAGGGATATAATTTGATGACAATAGTTTTTTTTATAGGTGGAAGGGTGTATATGTATATGTATATATGCACATATATACACACACACCCTATATATACATACATATATATATAAAGATCAATTTATTTTTTTCTAATGATGACCCATATACTTTTGGTATGCATTAATTGATACAACTCTTCACATTCACTGTAAAAAAATTAATATATATATATATCTATAAAAAAAAAACCATTAGTTTAGAAGATATTTTAATTTTTATGTTGCGAAGTAGTACTTACGCGCGCGTTATTTCAATATATATTTATGTGTAACCACTAACATCTACAATCATATGGATGTTGTGTAGACAAACGAGATTTCATGTTAGGATCAGGTAAAGTACAGGTGTACTTTCAAGATTTTCCTATCTCAGCAATTCCAGAGGTTCGTGAGATAATTAAAAGATGGCAGATTTCTAGAGAATATGTAAGCGAGCAGAAAAGAATACAGTGATATGGAACGAGTGACTCAGTGACTGCCTACTGAGAGGTAGAGGTCCTAGGATCGAGTCTTTGAGTACTTTAGGTCTTCGATATTTTTTCTCTGCTCGGGAGTCCTACAGATTATATTCCAAATCAAATTGTGAACATAATTTTATCATTGGGAGAATTTATTTGTGGACATTGTAGAAAAGCAGCACGACAGTATTGTGAAAGATACCCAAACTTCGTCATCGGACAGACAGACTTACCCAGAAAAGTCCATCAAATGTTGCAATTATAGCAATAGTAGCTGGAAATATCCCCTGTATTAGTTGTGAAATTGTTGAACACAACTTTTTCAATCAATGATTACAAGAAATCAAGATTTGTATTACGATAGTGTACTGTTTTGTGTATGTGCATCAAGCATTAAGAGATTTTGTTCACTTTGATATATTCTCTGCCGAGAAACTCTCAGCATAACATATTCTAAAACTCATGATTTATTTCGTATATTTTGTTTTCTGGCAGAACAAGTTTTATTAACAGAAAGTAAGCGAATCTGTCATTATTTGGATCCATAGCAGGATCTTTCAAGATGTAACATATTATGTATATATTATTAGTTCATATCTTTTTGATACTTTTTTTATAACAAAACATTTTACTTAAACCAAACTTTTATGATTTCTAGAAAATATCAAGACAATAAATGTGGTGTCAACACGAAACAGTGTTCCTGCTCACTATAATACGCCTCAAACCATTTTAAATGAGAAATTTTCTAATTGTTAGATTGGATAAGATGATAATGTCGACTTTTTAAGATGACCACATCTGATATCATTGAATTATTTTTTAAAAAACAAAGTTTAAAAAAAGAAAAAATTTAAAAAAAACGAAAATTTCTATTTCAAACAACTTGAAGAATTTTTCAAGCATTTTGATAAATTTCCAGTGAAATACATAAGAATTGATATATCATTTAGAAGAATAAGAGTGAAGCCTAATCAATGTTAAAAATATATAAAAGATATTCTTTTGTAAATACCAATTTTAAAAAGGTACATACTGTACTATTAGTATTACTTCGCAACAATAAAATCAAAATTAAAATTACCTAAACTAATGGCTTTTTGAAAAATACCCTAAAATTTTTTCATAGCGAATGAAGAGCTGCATCAATTGATGCATTCCAAAGTATATAATTCCATTTAAAAAAATATGAAATTGATCTTCATCATATCTCCTCTACATCTCCATCTACAAAAGAACTATTGACATTAGATTTTGTTTTTCTTTCAAAACTATTCAATATTTTCCGAAACATTTTGCGATATTATTAGTAGTTTCAAAGATATTCACGCGCGTTATTTAAAATGGGATATTCTCTCTCTGTATATATTAAAGAAATATAAATTAATAAAATTATAAAAAAGATTATACAGATTGTACAAAATAATATGTCCATGTAAATCTACTGTAAAAAAAATAAATAAATAAATAAAATGGACAATGCAGAACAAGCCACATAGGAGTACATAACAATCATTCGAAATGTTCAGCAAAAAAAGAAGCAAAATCTTAAAAAATATAAAATAAATATGTGTGTGTGTATATATATATATATATATATATATATATATATATATATATATATATATTACTTTACTACATTATTAAACAATTAACATTATTATAGCTCAACCATAAACCCTGGTCTACAATGATGATTTAAGCCGTAAGCCTTAAGAAATTGACCAATTATAGTCAAGTATTCTCCTCATATTTGACTGTGATTGGTCAATTTCTTAAGACTTACGGCTTAAATCACCTACTATAGATCAGGGCTAATAAGTTACATAAAATAAAATTCAATAATTATTCAATATCATTGGAGATTATTCAAAATCTCATTAAGTATTTAAAATTAAACATTTAGAAACTGAGATCTCTATTATAATCATTTCGAAGGAGCATTATTTTGGCAATAACAATTTTATAACATTTCTAAAAATTAAAAAATAAAACTGTTTAAATTATTCATAACTGTATTTGTAATTAGGAGGGAAAACAAAATAAATAAATATAGATTATATATAAACTACACAATAATAAAGATTTAATGAAAAATATATACTGACATACCTCTCTAACAGCCTGCTGTGCAGCTTCCCTATTAGTAAATGTGATAAATGCATATCCTCTGTTGGAACCTGACATGGGGTCCATCATCAGTCTCAAATCCCAAATTTTTCCGCATTTTTCAAATAACGGAATTAATTCATCTTCGTACATGTCTTTTGGAATTTTGCCACAAAATACCTTTTTGCAAAAATATTTAATGTAAGAATTTCAAAACATACAAGCATTTTTTAATATATGAAGGCTCAAGTATTTAAGTATTTTATATATGTATGTGTGTGTGTGTGTACATGTGTGTATATAAGTACATAGATTACTGAATATTTTTATAAGAAATTTATATAAAATGTAGAAAATAATTTAAAAATAAAAATACATTTTAAACATTTTATAATAAAGAAAATATATATATTTAAATTTACCTCACAACCAGTACCAGGCGTTGGACCTTCCCAATTTGGTGGAGGGCCACCATATTTTCTTTGTCCAGTAGTTACATCCAAAGGATATCCTGTTCTCTCCAAAATCATCTAAAATTATCATTTACCACTTACATAAATATTAATCAAGCAATAACTAAAAATAACAATTTAAGAGAAATTTAACTAACAACTTGTATAAGCAACTTGTATAAAAATACATGTAATAATTTTCACTTGACATTACTTTAATTTTGTCCTCATCCGGGGCTTTGGGTGTTGTGCTAGTGCCTGTTCCTTGACCCGCACGACTCTTCTGTCTGTATGTCTTCATTACTCCACAAAGGTATGCTGATTTGTTAGATACATGTTCTAGATTAGATTCCAGAAATTGCGTCAGCACATTTAGCGCACCATCAACTGGAAATTCTTTTAAAGCATCAAGAGCTCTTTCATCCAGATCAACATGAGCCAATTTTCCCGTCTTATAAATTTCATCAAGCTTGGCAGCCACTTTCTCATCTAATCCATATTGCATAAGTTTGTTAAAGTCTTCTGTCCGTTCCAAATTTTCCATTTCTTGTTTTTCTTCCATTTTTATTTCCCCATTTCCTTCTGCCATTGCTGAAACAATAACAACTACTATATTAATCAAAGTTTTTTATTCCGATTATAAAGTATACTTCATTATTTTCTATAATATATATTAAGTACAAATATATATATATATATATATATATATATATATATATATATTTGTATAAATTAGTTTTTAAAAGTTACACATTATATTATAAAATTAAATATCTTATATCCTTGCTACAAAATACTTATAAATGCAAATAAGTAACACATGTGGATACTAATAAAATATTTCATAGTATACATATCATAATTTTGTTTTAAATCTCAACACTAATCAATGTCTTCTGCCATTTTGTCTGGCAAGAAAAATTCTATATATATAAAAAATACAATTAAATTTTTTTTAATATATAAAGAATTAAATTTTAATATGACTCTAAAACAAAAAATTATTAATAAAAATATCTGAATTTTTAACATCAAAAAATAACAAGTTTTCAATACACACACAAAAACTATTATTTATTTTATAACACTTATCATTTATTCATAACTCACTCTTTTCAGTAAATGTAAATTATAAATAACGGTTCTCGATTTTTTATTTTCACATTCTTCTGAAAAACATATATGTATATATATAAATACATATATATATATATATATATAGATATATATAATTATATAAATGCACGTAACTAATAAAAAAAAATGCGATTTTTCGAGACGACAAAAAGCTAATAGAAATAATAATAATAATAATAAGAAGAATAAGAATAATAATAAAAAATAAATAAGAATAAATAAGAATAATAATAAGAAAAATAAGAAGAATAATAATAAAGAATAAGAATAATAAGAATAATAAGAATAAGAATAAGAATAATAAAAATAGAAGAAGAAGAAGAAGAAAATAATAATAATAATAATAATAATCCTAGAATAAATCCTCCTCCTAATAAAATAATAATAATAATTAATAATAATAATGATCTTAATCTTCCTATAATCCTCCTCCTATATTCCTTATTATTTATTATTATTATTATTATTTTTATTATTATTATTATTATTATTATTATTATTATTATTATTGTTATTATTATTATTATTATTATTATTATTATTAATCGACACGAGAAAGAAAAATGGTCCGAGTCGAGAAAACAAAATTCGCGAAAACAAATAAGCACCGAAAAAAATACCTGTGTACACCCGAAAATAAAATATCGCACTAATACGAAAATCGTGTCGATCGAGAGGCCAGGACGCGCCGCCAGGAAAGAATCCTATTCCGGACGGCGACGGGGAGAGAATATTTTTCCCTCGCGAATCTATCTAATCCCGACACGATCCCTCCGATTTTCTCAGGGATGCTGGAAATTCACCGGCCGGCGAGGCGCGACTCGAAATCTGCGAGGATGTACTTCTATACATATATGCACTCCGGCGCGTGAAATGATGCACTTCGCGACGCGCCTCGGAGCTCCGTCCCGGCACACATTTATTTATTTCCCGTTCGCGCGGCCCCGCTCGAGTTCGCGGCCGGCAACGAAGGAACCGGGATGGGATGCGCGCGAACGCGCCGAGAACGCGGTTTACCTTGCAAAATAAACGGACAGAAGAGGCTCTCCGCCGTGCCGAAGGAAATGGCGACAGAGACGTCAACGTGATTGCGCGGACTACGGGGTTCACAAAACGACGCGCAAAGATACGCTCGAACCCAGCGACACGACGTTGGCCATTTCTCCGGCCGCCCGCGAATTCTGATTGGCCCGCCGTCCGCGCGGAAGCGCGTCCGACGAGGAAAAAAAGTTCGCGGAGGCTCCCAGGTTTGTTCGCCGAAGAAGAGTAAAAGACCGGGAGAATGTGTATATATATATGTATATGTATATACATATATATATATATGTGTGTGTATATATTTTACGAGAGCCCTTGTCTCGTTCGGCGCGATTACGGCGATAAATAAATCTTATTCGTTTAGACGAGATGCGAAATTACGGGAAAAATTGCAGCGAGGTTAGGCTTTTCCGAGAGGTTAGGCTTTTCAGAGAGAGAGCGTGGTGTTCATTTTATAGTAAGCGGAAAATCCAATTACAATGATATTTTAGATATAATTAGTCGATATAGATATATTAGATAGATTAGATATATTAGCCCAATATTGTAATTCTTAATGTTGATGTACTTAATATTTGTATTAATTAATCTCTAATAATTTAAGAATATAGCATTTCTACACCGTGTTTTTCATTTTTCGAAATATTTTTTCAGCTGAAACTGATCGCACTTTTCTTAGTTCAAAGTTTATCTTTTTTTCCTCCACATATTGAAAGAAAAAAGAGATAAACTCTGAACTAGTGCAGTCAGTTTAATTAAAAAAAAAAAAAAAAAAAAAAAAAAAAACTATTATATATTATCAAGTAACAATCTCCAAAACATTTATAAAATATTTATAAATCAATATACAAATTTAATATTTCGAAAGAGATCGATTTAATATTTATTGCTTATTGAAACTCATCCTTCCAGAGTCTTTTGCCATATTTGTCGGATGCTCGCTTCATCTTGTTCATATTTAATAATTCTGAGCAAACAGAGTTCGCACATCAACCAAAATTGCACGTTCACAAAGCAAGCATATATATATATATACGCGATGACGTGTATTCGAGAGATTGAACATTTGCAAACGCGCAGCGGTTAATCTAGCGAGATTTTAAAATCGGGAATGCGACGCGATTGTGCGCTTATCGGCATATGCTCAAAAACCTCACTACGCTCTTCATTGGCGATACAATGATTTTTGTGCACGTGTTGCATATTCTTTTGCATATCACGTGAATACCGCTATTTGTACTGCTTTACGAACGAGCTTGAGCGAAATGCGAAAACGTTCATAATGAAACGTAATTTTACCGCGTATTCCTAATGTTCTCGTGAAAATCAAGTTTATAACTTTTTTCATAACATATTTAGTGCTTTTTATGTACAACAACATCTGTTACCGACCGAAAAAGATATTTCCTCAAAACAAGATGTATACTCTTTTCTCTCATGTGTCTCTGTACCGTATACTATAATATTCAACACATACGAGAGAAAAAAGTGCATCGAAGCACCTAGTCGATCACTTTGTACGGAATAAATAAAATGATGGTTCTATATAAACCGCGAGAGGAAGATGCAAAGACAGAACAAAGAAAAGAAAGACAAAGAAAATGGAGCAATGTCAGGGAGCAATTCATGATAAAGATGCGTGTGTACCTGTGTTGAATTTGTACTCCTCACCGGTATTAATTTAGCAGATTCGTTGCTTCAATGACGAAGGAACACCAATTGCAATGGCAACACAAGAGAATAGTCAGGATCTCCGGCCAGGTATCATGAAATTCATAATTAATTAGCACGTCACAGTTTTTCCACGAGGAAAGCGCTTCTCCGTACGTCAGGTTGACTTATGGTGATAATGGAAACGGCAGCGGTGGCGGCGTCGGTGGTGGCGATGGCGATGGCGGTAATAGTGATGATGGCAATGACGGTGGCGGTGGCGGTGCTGATAGAGATGAAGGAGGTGGCGGTGGCGGTGGAGGTGGCGGTGGAAATGGCGGTAAAAGTGGCGATTGAAATGACGGTGGAAGTGGCGGTAGTGATGGCAGCAGTTGCGGCAGTGATAGTGGTGATGATGGTGATAGTGGTAGTAATAATGATGATGATAGTAGTGATATTAATGGTGACGATGGTGATAATGATGAATAAGATAGTGATGGTGAAAGTAATAATAGTGGAGGTGATAATGGCAATAATGTTAATGGTAGCGATGACGATAACAATGGTACTGACAGCGACGATGGCAGTACGGATGGAGATAGAGGAGGTGGTAGCAATGATTACAATAGCGGCAACAGTGGCGGTGACGTTGACGGTGCCGGTGACGACGATGGCGGTGGCGGCGGTGGTGGCAGCGGCGGCGGCGGTGGCGACGACAGCGACAGCGGAGACAGCAGTTGCTGCGGCTGTACTCGCGGTTACATTTACGCTATTGCGCGTAACTTCATCGAACGATATGACGCGACACGCGCGAAAAGATAAAGAAAGATTGGCGACGAGAGGAAGGTCCGTTTGTTTTGAGTGACCAGTGCGTATTATTTTTAGATCATTTGGATTAAATTTAGTTTGCGTAGGCACTTGCACGTGATTGAGAACCGAAGAATGAGACAGATAATAGACACATAAATTCTTCTTCTTCTTTTTCTTGTTTTATTTGGATTTCCGTCCGTTGGGCAGAGTACCACGTCGAAACACAGATTTTATAAATTATTTTACTAGCGATATTTAAGCGGCAGCGATGGCAGTGACGACGATAACGATAATGGCACTGATAATGATGAAAACGATAATAATTATGACGATGTGTGCGTGAGACAAGAGACAACGATGACTGGATTTTAAGGCTCGGGCGCAGCGTTTTGATATTGTGTAGTGCCTACATAGCCGTGATGCATAAATTGGACTGTCTCACTGAAAGAGCGGTGCAATGGTGCAAACTCCACAAAACCGAAACCAGTTTCTTTGCGCTCGCCGTCGGAATTGCGCCTTAGTCCAATCCGATTCAATCGCTCACCTCTCTTCGCGGTATATACGGGCTCCGCCTTAATCAGGATCGTCACAAACACTCCGGTCGCCCCGTGTATGCTTTATTTGAATTCTATTTGATATAGATAACTGTCAAATTCAAAAATCTTCAAATTATTACTTCATCTTTTGTACACTCTACAAAAATGCAAAAAAATATTTTCGTACATTTAGAATTCATTTTAATTTAAAAAAATAGATAAGAAACATGTGCATATATGTGTATATATGTGTTATGTACATGTGATAGTTTACAAATATATATATTTAAAATTTTTTTAAATTTTATTATTTCAAAAATTTATTACTTTCCTACATAACACAAATGATTTAATAAAATCTAAAAAAAATTTCTAATCTAGAATCAGCGTATTTCTTGACACTAATTAATTTAATATTATATTTATATTATATTATAGTTATATATTTATATTTCTACGTACGTACATAAAAATATAAAAAAATAGATTACTTTATTAAATATCTTTAAAACTTTAAATATTCCGAAAAAGTAATTTTATTTAATTTGCTTCCTCATATGAACTGCAATGTATTGTATAAATAAATTGAAAGATTTAAATTGATGTATATTGTCTTTCAAAAATTAATAAATAATTTAATAAATCTTTCTCTCCTTTCCTCTCAGGTATCAAAAAATGCTTGTTATTTTCTGAAATTATTACATATTCTCTCATATAGTTGCGTGAATTGCATGTGGTAAATTGTAGATGCACGTACGAACATGCATCTATATGCTCTTGGCACACCTATGCAGGTTCGTTTGATCGAAATATCGTGATTTGATCTCAGTCGACGGAACCTCATAATATTACGATCCTGCGTGCTAACCGTAAGCCACCCGTTGTGTCGGGAGCACGCACCCGCGTCCCTCCGTAGGTGCGGTGTGGTACGGTGATTCAACTGAGCGAGAGCAAGAATACGTCGAGACTTACTGGCTGACTCGCTCGCTCTTGCTCTGCAGAAACCTGTTTGGCTCGGAACTTTTCTACTTTCTTGGCGATTATTTTTATCTGCTGAGAATCGCACGCAGGGCAAGCAAGCAAGCAGCAGCAAGCAAGCAAGCAAGCAAGCAAGCAAGCAAGCAGGCAGGCAGGCAAGCAAGCAGATAAGCAGGCAGACAGACAAACAAGCGGGCAACTAAGCGAGTGAGCAGGCAGACAAGCCAGCCAGGTGTCGCACCACGTCGTGTGTTGCGCCACATTGGCTCTGCCGGAAGCGAGCCATTCTGAAAACTACCAACCAACAGCAGCCAACCGGCCAGACCACGTTTTTGCTACAAAAATTCTTCTCGAACATCGTTACATGCCCTGCGCCGTACACCTTCCTTTTCCTGTTTCCTCAATTTTATTCTCTCTCTCCTCTCTCCTCCCCCTTCCCATCCTTCTCTCTTTCTCCACGCACTCACTTACGTATGCACGCACATTTTTAGTAACTTATATTTATTAATTAAAAAATATAATAATCTGATTAACCTACAAAAGGACACAGATAATTTAAATAGTATTTATGATAAAATAATAAAAGTTGTTTAGAGTTATGCTCAGTTTAACACAAACAAGTGACGAAGTGTTACACCGATTATTTAATACACGTATCAAACGCCATACTGACGAATCACAGAGCCATTCTTCTAAAGAATAGAATGACTATGATTGGTCAGTAGTACTTAATACGCGTATCAAAGTATATCGGTGTAAACTAGGCCATTATTATAATTTATTTTAGTATACCTGAAGAGGACTAAAATTATGGTCGAAAGTGATGTTTGTAAGTGATGGTTGTATTGATTTAATAAATCCAAATATCTATCATTGGTTGTAATTATTTATTCTCTTTATATTTATTAGATTTTTTTCTTAACAATTAAACTTAATAATTAGTAAGACTGTCAAATGTAACATCAAATGTAATATAAATTTTAACGGCTAATTACCCAAGGAGAACAGAAAAGTCAAAATGATGTCAATTTGACGTCATATTGACTAAATTTATGTCATATTTTTTGGTCAATATTTAGTCAATATGATGTCAAATTGACATCATTTTGTCTTTTTGTTCTCTTAGGGTATATTTCAGAGTTTTTTATAGATTGTATTTATGCTAGTTATTTGTACATATTTATATATTCGGACATACTATAGGACTGTATATAGGCTGTAACTGAAAAAGTATATATAGAGCACACTATTAAATTTTGTGATCAATTTAAAAACGATTTTTTTAGCGAAATGTCAAAAGGGAGTTCATCATTTTTTGCATATTCCCAATTTTTGTTATATATATCTTTGTAATTAAATCTTAAAATTCTATTAAAGTAAAATTTATTAATTCAAGTCGCTGCAATTCTGTTTGTAAATGTTACATTGAATGCGAGGTCTCCCGAAGCGATGCAAATTAAAATGGCACCCTACACGAATAGAGGCCGAGTGAAACACCCCATTTCGCCAGTAAGAGTTCAGCACTACCCTTCGATCCTTAAGAACTACTGGGGGTAAAAGGATGTCCATGAGGGTTTCTCCGTGGAAAAAGAAAAAAAGATGAAAGAAGGAAAAACTCACATTGATGTTTGAAATCATGTCTATGTGTGCGCGCGCATCACTTCAAGACACCCCACATTCAATGCAATATTTTTGAATAGAATTGCAGCGGCTCGATAAATTGGTAACAGACACATATTGTAAATTGTAATTTGTTGTTAAAAAACCGATTTTAGTAAAGAACAAAGTGAAAAATCAGAATATCAAAGATGTGGAAAAACGATTAAGATATTTAGGATGAGCATATGTCAGATTTTTGTTGTACTTAATTGAAAAAGAAAAACAAAAAGAGAACACAAGAGAAAATCGATTTGAAGATATTCTGAAAAAAAATTTGATTTTACAAGTCTGCAAACGTATTATAGAATTATATTAGACATAATGGAATAAAATTAGATTATAAATTTGGATTTAAAATATATAAAAAATATCTATCTTGATTCCTATTACATAAAAAAATTTTTTTTGTCCTGTGAAAGTTCAAAAAATTTTTGGGGCTATACAACTTCATATTAGTCACCCCTCCCCTACTTATATAAAAATAAACCAAATCGATAGATTTCCATTTGCATAATTCAAAACAATTTGAATTTTTGTTTGCATATATCTTTGGAAAAAAAGATTATTTAAAAAAACTTTAGTTTCTTCCAATTTTCACAAATTTTTTTACTTTTTTTCTTGATTATCTAAAAAACTAGACGTAATAGCATTAAATTATATGAACTGGTTCACTCTGTGCAAACTGGATCTTATATTAATCAATTTTACAATTTCTCACTGTGTAATCCACCATTTTAAAATTGATTCTTCGTAATCAATATTAAAATTTTCTCAAAATATACCTCTCCTTGAGATGATAAAATGCGCAGGAAGAATCTGTCGTTTGTTTCCCTTTCTTGCCGAAGTGAATTCTTCAGAGAATCTTTTCAGTAATATCTATATCCAGATGTTACATTTGGATACCATATGGTTGGAATATTCCAGATTTCCCGTTCCGGATTGCAACGGTTTCATTATATTAACATATAACTTCGATATCATTAGCTACAATTATTAGTTGCGCGCGTTATAAGCACATTTTAAATTTCACAACTTTTTTTTATTTTTCCACTGCACTTTTTTGACCAAATGTATACATATATGGGATATCCAATCGTCTTGTGGTACTGTTTGATCTCACCCAATAATTAATTAATTCTTTATTAATAAAGATGTTATAGAAAAAAATTATTCAGAATTTTTTGACTTATTTTTGTGATAAGGAATAACGCTGTGTACTTGTAATTAGTGTGGGCGGTCTTTACTGCTCACAAAAAGAAACACTTAATTTTTCTTAAAAAATAAGCAAATTTTAAACAGCATCAATAAAAAAAAAGATTTCGAAGCTTGAAATCTCTACTCAAAAGGTTACCATATTTTTTACGAGTTTGATCAATTTTATATATTGAAAACTGTAGTTGGACAATGTGGAAAAGAGGATATGCAAAAAGTGCGATTTTTTTACCTCGAGTGTAAAGTAAAATTCGAATTGTCTCATACATCTAGAATAATGTAAAAACCATAGTGGTTTTTCTTGGAAATGCAGGGAACATTAAATATCATCATATGTTTAGAGAAAATCACGTAAATCAATATCTCACAATAAATCGAGATTTCTTGATATTTCAGCCGAATATTTTAGTATATATTTTAGT